TGCTGGTCAGTAAGCCGCTCGTCTGTCTTCCCACCAAGGCCAGAGAGGATGTTTCTCCTTTCCGCCAGCTTTTCTGAGTTCTGTTTCACCAGTCCCCGGGTTCCCTCCTGGATAGTGCCACCCTCCCAGACGTCTCCTGCTGCACTGTGTTGTGCTGGAAGGATGTTTGTTTGGCTGCCTTCTTCCTAGAAAGGCCAGATCACGCTTCCCGGGCCGGGGCCCTGTCCAAGCTGCGGCTTAGTGGGATTTTCATCTGGCGCCCCAGCCGTGGGTCTCTTGTCCCTGCTCCCCACCCCATGGGCGCCCAGCGGTCCAGGCGGCCTCACCCCTTGTTCCTCGGTGGGCCCATTGACCTGTCGCGTCCGGCCCCCACTCCCTCTCCTTCATCGGCTGACACCCGCCCATCCACACACCCTCCATCTGGGCCCCTCGCCCCAAGCCCAGCCCGGTCCTGTCTCCCTGGTGTGTTCCTGGGTCCCAGCCCAGCGTGTGCCACTGCTCACAGGGTAAAACTGTGGCCTGTGTAATTCACCTCTGACTGCGCAACTGTAGGCTCCAATAGGGCAGGGTATGGGACTGCTCTGCACATGCTGATCTCTAACCTAATCTAGTGTCTGTCCTGGACTGCGTGCTGTGTAATTTTTTTTTTGAGATGAGGCTCACTATGTAGCCCACACTGGCCTTGAACTTTCAATCCTCCTGCCTCAGTCTCCTGAGAAGCTGAGATGACATGTGTGTGCCACCACATCCAGCTCTGTAATCCTCTTTATGAATGAATGAATGAAACATATTGACCTGTTGGTATACTTAGCGTTCTATGCTTTTCTGTTCATCTCATCTTGTTCTACGGGAGAGCTTAGTAAGGAAGCCTGTGTGGTCCATGAAGGGGGTCGCTGGGTTCTGCAATGGTGGGGCTGGATGCAGCGGGCAGAGTCAAGGCGAATCTTGGTGCCTGGTGTGATCCGCTGGGTGTGGTGGGTGACCACAGGGATCACTCAGCTGTGACAGGTCTTCTGCCTCATCTGATGCTGGGTGCCTTTTACAACTCAGATCTGTGTCGTGGATACAGTGCTACTTCTGATTTGGCTGAGGTGTGTGGGGAATGACGTGGGGTGGTCAGCTCTCAGACCCAAGGGGCTGGGACCTCAGCATTGTTTCCATGCTGGTGCAGGGCAGCCAGAGGCTGTTCACCCTGGGTGCAGGTGAGGGAAGCTCACATCTGGTCCCTCAGGAAAGTCTGCTGTAGTTACGGAGCAAAGGCCCATTGTTAAGGGACCAGAACTGAGTTTGCTGTGCTCTGTGTGCTGGGTCCTTACCCACCAGTCAGCGGGTAGCGGTCCTCTCCCGGCCAGGGGTGACTGTAAGTGTTACACGTAACATTCGGGACGGCGCCTCTTCCGCCTAGTCTGGGTGACGCAGGGACCATCACTGTCCAGATTCTGCCTCCACATGCGAACACTGACCTTTCCCACAGCCCTCCCCCTGGGCTGTACCAGGACTAACGGGCTTGGCTGGCTGCCCTCCGGGAGCAGGGGCACAGAGAACCAGAGAGTGTAACAGGTCAGGAGTGAGCGAGGACAGGTGCCAGCCAAAGCCATGTGGGGAGAATCCCGAGCTGGAGGTGGCTGCTTGTGGCAGCAGATGGAGAGCTGTGAAAGACCGACTCACAACAGGGTGGCTGAGGTCAGGCAGTGGCCACAGCTGTGTCAAATCCTGTGCTCCCCAAATCAGGGGTGCTGTGAAGACACCCCTGTAGTCCCTGTCCCCCATGCTCCTTAGCTTCAGTTGTGGGTCAGGGTGTCGCCCTTGCCTGGAGGCTGTATGACTTCCTGTTTTGCTTTTCCTGTCTGTTAAGTGCTCTGGGTGGCTTTTTCTTCACCTTTACTCCTCTCTTCCTTGGTGACTGCCACCTGTCATTCTGTCCCACATCTTCCACGGCAGGGGACAGAGTGGCAGAGAGGACAGTGAGGGGTAGACTCACAACCTGGGTTTGTAAAGCCACCTTCCAGTTGCCCTAGGGCCCTCCAGGCTTAGCCTGGCATGCACTGCCTTCAGCTGTCGCATACATTTATATTCATAACGGGGGGATGAGGACATGGTCATCTAGGCCGAGCATTAGGTCACAGTTAAACTTAGAACAGGATTTCTTTTTCTCTCTATCATTAAAGAGTCTGCTTACTTCTACCCCTAGACTCAGCCTTGCTGGGTCTGATCACGGCAAAATATCTTCACAGCAGGGATATTTTGGACCTGACACACATGCAGTTAGACGGGATGCTCTTTCCTGGAGCAAGCGAGTGCCTTCAGCTCGTTTGTCTGTCTGCACACTTAGGCCCTGTGCAGCGCTTGCTCAGTAGCCAGAGCCACCCGCTGCCCTTTTCCACTGTATCCTTGGTCTTTTTTTATGAGAATCATTTTTTAAAAATCCATACTAATCTTTCACTCCAGCTCTAGAAGCTTGCTGAGTTTTAGTAGGGCGTCTGGCTGCCCAGCTTCTGGCAGTATTTCCTAGCCACCCTTGTGGCCGGGAGTGGCCACATGGCAAAGTTTCCTTCAGTGGAATGTGAGCAGAGTGACGTTTGCAGCGTCTGTGACAAAGGTTGGAAAAGAAATTGCTGGCCCTTATTTTTTCTTTTGCTTCCTTCCAGCTCTGGTGTGGATACTGGTCGGTCCACTTCACTTGGGCAGATGAGGGTCACACTGCGGGGGAGCAGGGGCAGGGCATTAAGAAGGTTGCTGATGAAGCAAGCCACCCCGCACTGTAGTGCTTCTGTACTGTTGCAGGAGAGAGCAATTGACAACTCTCCCTGTGAGAGCCATCTTACCTGTAAGCTGCTGTGTCAAACAGCTTCATCCACACCCCAGTGCCCAGTGGTGGACACTTACTAAGTGCTCACACTATGACAGGGACCACAGAGTGCTGAATGGGTCTTGTGTCACTTAATCCTCTTGTGCCACCCTAAATAGGTACTGCTTTCCTGTTTCACAGACTGTGACCCAGCTTAGAGAACGAGGTGTCTTGTCCAAGGTGGCATGACTGCCCATGGCAGAAAGGACCCCAGCTCACCTTCCAGGTGTGTCCAAACACACGTTCTTAGTTCCTGTGCCCATGTGTCTCTGCAGATTCCTGCCCATTGCTGTTTACTCTTCCTCTACAGAGAATGTTCCAAGTGTCCTCTGCCACCTTAAAGTTTCAAGCCTAGATGATTGCTTGGTATAGATGGCTCGTTTCGTCCTCTTTTTCTGTATTGTGTTTTGCTTTGAATAAGCTAATTTTGCACTGTTCCTAGACAGTAAATCTCTCAGGGAAGGGACAGAAATGTAAAATACATGACAATTAAATATCTAAAGGGATACAAGCGGTCTGGTCTTCCAGAAGGACTCAGTCCTCTCTTACATGATGCTCTTCTCACGGGTCTATAAATTTTGCTGTTAACAAATCAATCCTGGTGAAACATCCCGCCCCTAGTTTACATTCACCTTCACGGTAGCAATGTAACTGAAAAAATGATTTGAACGAGGAACAGTGCTCACACTATTCTTCACCCTAAATGTAAACAAGTAGACTAAAATTTCCAAGATTGAGCTTGGCTCAATGTTAGATTCATGATCATTCTGCCAGGTATGAGTTAGGGCTAAATTTGCTGCATAATAAAAGGTGATCCAAAACAGCAGCTGGCCTAAACAAGGTGTGCTGTGCTTTCTAACATGACAGAATCCTGGAAGTGGGCAGCTAGGGACTGACACGGTGACTTCTTGCTCATTGGGATCCCAGCCTCTTTCTAACCTTTTCCTCCAGCATCCTTGAAACTGGCTTCTACTCTCAGGGTTCCCTTAGGGACATGAGCGTCCCATAATGACAGCCAACAGGTCAGAGTTACAGGCAGTGAAATAGGGAGACAGTAAAGGCTTTATGGGTTCTCTGCCTGCTCTCTTTTAAATCCCTTTCCAGATTTCACTAATAAACTTCCCCTTCCACAGAATGGTCATAACTTAGCAATATCTAGTTACATAGTTGTCCAAATAAAATTAAGACTTTGCTCCAAACAAGGAAACACAGGAAGTGCTACGCAGTGTTGAATAGATTGCCTTGCCTTCTAATGAGAAAATTCCTACCATTCTAGATGAGTTACTGACACATGCCCACCTATGGGCCCCAGATCCATACTTTTTAGGAAATACATTTTGATTGGAACAAAGCTAGATGCACTTGCTGACACATAGTCTGTGGCTGACTTGGTGCTGCATCGGCGGGCTGAGTGGTTACTTCAGACACCGTCTGGCCCACGTGCCTCCTGTATCTGCTCTCTGGTCCCAGGGCGGAAGTTCACCACTCCTGTTCTAGATCTCAGAAGACAGCTTCTCACAAGGGCTTCAGACCCTGTGACTCATGACGGGGCAGAGCTGAGCTTGACGTGGATTCAGGCACCGACTGTGTCCTTCCCCACCAGGCTTACACACATCAGGCATGCGTTTGGGTGCAGGTAAAATCTGATCAATGATGGATTGAAGTAAAGGGGCTTATTTTCTTCACCCACGGTCCAGTGTCAGTGCTGATGCTCAGTGATGTCTTTGAACCCGGGTCTTCTTTCTCCCTCACAGTGCCTGGGCTATTGGCTTCCAGCTCGATGCTTCCGGTGCAAACTGGCTGAGTGCCCGGAGTTCTGTGTCTGCCTTCCGTGCAGGCGGAAGGACAAGGTGCAGTGGGCCAAAGAAACATGAGACTGTCCCTTTGTAAACGCCTTCTCACAGGCTGTCAGGGGCCAGGGCTGTGCTAGCACCACTGCCAGTGGCTGAGAACCCTGTGCTGGTGGGATCAGGAAGCCGGAGATTCGCTGGAAGAGAGGAAGGGGAGACAGTCGCGATCGGTACCTATAACCCTGGGTCCCTGCAGCCCCTCTCATGCCTCCTTCTCCTTCTGCCTCTCTCCCTTGCCCACCCCTGTACGGTTCCTGGCATTAATTTCTCTTCTCTGCCCCCTCTTTCGTCTGTTTGGCCAGGTGAGAAGCCTGGCCGTGAGCCAGAGGAGGTGAAGCTGCAGATGGCCAGCAGGCAGATCGTGCAGACGGCCATCCTGCAGGCTGTGCAGCAGGTCTCCAGGGAGAGCCGGCGGGCGGACGACAGAGCCAGCGACAGCCGGGGTCGCCGCCAGCTGGGTGTGCGGGAGCTCACCAAGAAGCCCGACAAGAAGTAGCGGGGTGGATGTGGCGCTTGCCGTGTGCAGTTCGTAGCCTGCCTGTTAGTATAGGACACGCTGCCAACACGTGGCCGATAAGGAAACCAAAGCGCGCAGGACACGTAGCCGTGGGACGGACTCACACCCGGCCCTGACCGAGAAGCACTGTTTTGCAGAAGTGCATTAGACATTCTGTTCACACTCATGCGGTGCCTCCAACACGGCACCAGCCAGATGTGACATGTGCGTCGCAAAAGTGGTTTTGCAGCACAATTTTTGAAGTTTTCTTTTCTTTTAAGAGAGAATTCTAAGTCCTGTTTATTTTACCTCTGCTTTTTACGCACTCTTTCTGTGAATTCAGTGAGCAGGTTTTCCCCTTCTTTTCTTGTTTTCTGAAATACTGAGTTCAGGTCTGTGTTCTTTATTATTTCTTTATTTTTTGGTACCGGAGATCGAACTCGGGTCCTCGCACTTGTGCAGCAGGCGCCGAAACCACTGAGCTAAATCCCCGGCCCTCTTTATAAATATTTTAAAAAGACATGCTAGAAAGGTGAGAGTTGGAAGAAAGAAGTGGAGTTTTAGCCCCTTTCAAATACAGAGCTGAAGGCTTTTATGATATGAATCCAGGCCCAAGATCAAATTAAACAAAGACAAATCCTAAGACCCAGTCCCCCTGGGTCCCAAGCATATATGTATATTACTTATAAAAGAGGACTATAGGCTTTTAAAGAACCCAACCTTCTCATCTCTCTTCTCTGAGTGATTCCATGGCTGCCATTTACCTTCTGTGCAGAGATCCATTGGGAATGGTGTGGGTTTCTTTTTTTCTTTTCCATCTCAAAGTTAAATACAATAAAGCAAGTGAGTGTCTGTGCATGAGCTACTATTCATTCAGTTCTTCAGCAACCCCACAGAGACCAACTACAATTCTACATCTCTAACCTGCTGCCCTTCTGGACATTGAACATCCTTGGAAGGAGCTCGGGGGCCTTATGTGTATGCCGTGTCACTGGCAGGCTATGGATTTGTATTCGTACCTTACCTACGGGAACTTGCCTCTGCCTGTGCACAAGTTAGAATTTTTATTTTGCTGTTATATAAAAATCATATAGGTCAGGAATAATGTTTAACTTGGGAAAGCCAGCTTTTCAACTTTCTGACATGTGAAAATACAATGGAAAGCGTAAAGTGACAGCTCTGTGAAGGCAGTTGCAGAGATAGGTGTGTATATGTGCACACAGTTGCGTTGTGCATGTGTATAAAAGGAGGATCACTTCCTGCTCCACCCCAGTGCACATCTTCCTGGAGTCTTTTTGAGCCTCATTTCCTGTGCTTCACCAAAGTTATTGAGTTGGTGCCATTGGGAACAGGGAGCATATAACCTTTGTTACAAACCTGCAGGCTTCAGAGTATCAGTATCTGCAGTTAATAGTTCTTTTCGTTTTTAAAGCAAGATATTGGCATATACAATATGAGTACTATTAAGATACATGTCTAAAATTCCAATGTGTTATGCTTTCCAGAATGAATGTTATGGCTAACCTCAGATGAACCAGAAGGACTTCTCATCAACTATGTTAGACTGTCCTCCACAGGGCATAGGTGGAATAAATTAATTCGGGGAGAAGATGGGTGGCAGAGGAAGCAAAGGAGGCTAAAATTGAAATATTGTTTATCCAGAAGTATTTTTTAGCACACTTTGTGACAGTTGGAGAATGAATTTAAGTTGACCTAAAGTCACATAATGACGAGACAAGAGGGCATAATGTAGTGAGTGAAAGTGAAGGCATGTAGGGAAATTTTCAGGTGTGCTCACAAATAAGAAGGGGGATGAAAGTAATTAAGATGTGCCAAGCACATATCCTTACTCCTTAAGTTGAACGTAAACACTGTACTGGAAACATGTACTAATGAAAAGTAAACAACTGTGAAAAAGAAAGGAACCGAACACTTGAAGCTTGCCAGTGATCTGAATATACCCAGGCTTGGCTTTTGCTGTCAGATGGCAGAAACATGCCCTCCTTCCTCTTTGGTGTGACTGTATTAGTAAACTGGGGGTCCTTGGGAACATCTTGATCTAAATATTATTTATAAATAAAATATATCCTGCTTCGAAACATGTCGTTTTAAGTAAGATCTTTCTACGGCCCTCTGTGGCTCATTGGTGTGTGACTCTGCCGATGTACAGCACCACAGGCTTTGCAGAGGGGTCGGCCTCAGAGCCCCAGATGTCAGGAGCAAGGCAAGAGCTTCTTCTGTGGACTGAGCCGTGCATCTGTGGGTGGTGCTTCCTGAGGTCTGAATGGAAGTGCACGTGTACTAAGAAGTGGCCTTTTGGTCTCAGCAAGGATGGCTAAGTAGATGTGGAAGTTCAAGTGTCCATTAGGATCTTTCTGAGAGGCAAAGTCAGTAGCAAAGGAGAGAGGCATCGATGATTTCTTGAAAGCATAGGAGGAGGTTACGCACTCCCAGACTCAGTCCATGGGTGCCGTATTGACAGAATCCGAAGAACACAGTCAGAAAAATACAAGCCTCTCAGTGCCAAGATGGAGGTACTGGGTTTCACAAGGGGCCGTGGATCTTCACTTGGCATAGGATGATGGCAGGTTTCCACTTGGTTATTGTCACCAGTTAGCAAAGAGCTTTTAGTATTTGGAATTTGTGGGAACATTTATTGAATGTTCTTTATCTCCCTGATTGACTGAAAAGAATTATACAGGGACCTCCTGGCTCTGTGTGTTCAGCTGTTCATCTTTTGGTTTGCCTGTCTCTGGGGTTGAATTAAATCCTTTTTGTTATTTTGCTTTTCTGTAATCATCTAGCTGGTGCAGGTAGTACTGTAAATAGATACAGAACAATTTCCTGGCACTTGAGCTTCATTTTCCTCAGTTTCTTAAAAAAATCATTAGCTGCTCAGTCTTCCCTTATGGTGAGATTTCAGGTTACAAAGAGAGGAATCAGATATTTAAAAGTAATCATTGGATTTATGCCATTCAGGAATGAGTACCTGACTGCTCTCAAGGCAGTTTTAAAGTCCGTGTGAAAGAACAATACAGAAAAGAGGCGCCTTTTGCTTAATCCACTGTACAGACAGCCTAGTAAGATGCAGTAGAGAATCGAATCTCTGAAAAGGTGTAACTCACTTAGCGTCTGTAGCCTTGGCCAGATAAAAAGATCAGACATTTGAGCATATTCTTCAGTTCATCTGAGGAGAAAGTGGAAATGCAATAATGCCTTGTCTTTTCAGTGTGGGAAAGTTTTCTGAAATATATGAGTACACATTGCCTCATTCATCTCATTGCAACCTCACAGTAAGGAGTAACTGGAGAAGATTGCATTCTTCTTTTTCAGATAAGGCCGCACTGAGTTTCAGGGAATAGAAATACAACCAACTGGAAAAAAGACCTCAAAACTTTGCTAGCATGTCAATCAGCTCAAGAGGTTACAAATATGAACTTTAAGAATACCTATGTTAAGATGGAAGAATAAAACTGCCTAACTGAATATTTTCTGCATAAAGAAATTTGACCAAAATAGCAAAGGTCATCAGTAGAATTCATCAATTATTAAGTCAGTAATTATTCATCAACAGAAAAAGCTCAGTGCCATTAAACTCAAAAACAGATGGGGCATTAGTCAGCTTCACATTACTATAGCAAAATACCTGAGGTAACTATAAAAAGAAAAAGGTTTTCTGCCTCATATTTCTGGAGGTTCCAGTCCAAGTTTGGATAACCCAGTGGCTTTGGGGTTGTCTTAGTCATTTGGCCATTGCTGGGACAAAATACTCAAAATTCGCAACTTGGGAGAGGCTTATTTTGGGTCACAGTTTTAGTCCACAGTTAGTTGGCTCCAAAGTAAAAACTGGATGACAGAGGGGCATGATGGGAAAAGGTGAAGGGGCATGATGGGAAAAGATGTTCAACATATGGTCGCCAGGAAGCAGAGAGAGAAGGGAGGAGCCAGGGAGGGTGATATATGGCCCCAGTGACCCCTCTTCCAACCAGGTCCCACAAGTATACTCAGCCATGAACTCATCAGTGGATTAATTCACTGATGAGTAGAGCACCCCTATGATGCAATCATCTTCCAAAAGCCCTGCCTCTGAACACATGGGGCTTTTGGGGGACATTCTAGATCTAAACCATAACAGGACCCTGGTGAGGGCACCACAACTCAGCAGGAGCACATGGCAGAACAAACCACGGATATCACGAGCCAGGAAGCACAGCAGGATCAAGAGATCGGGGTCCCACAAACCCTTCCAAACCACGGATATCACGAGCCAGGAAGCACAGCAGGATCAAGAGATCGGGGTCCCACAAACCCTTCCAGGGCACACTCCCATGACTTGGGTAGCTCCACTACCTGCCAGCAGCACTGCTCTGCAGACCAAGCTTTCAGCACAGGGCTATGGGGGGATACTTATTCCAACCCAAGCAGTGGCTATGGAAAGAAATAGCAACATCCCAAGGGAACACAATAGGAGATCACTGGGCCTAGGAGGTCACTCAGCTGTGTGCTGTTCCTCAGAAACCATGTGGCTGCGGGCACCTGACCAGCTGTGAGGGAAGAGGAGCAAAGTGAGAGACTAACTCTTGTCCTCCAGCTGTAGTGTTCCAGACACAGGGACTGGGAAGAAGTAGGTGAAATGAGGGAAGTGACAGCCTCAGCTTTCGGAAATGGAAAAGGAAATGAAGGAAAGAAGGAATATTTACACATACACATGCATACTGCACACATACACATAATATTCCGTGTACCCAATGCTCAAAAGCAATACTTCCAGAATAAAGGAAAACTTCTTTCAGATTGAAAGCTGGCCAGTCCTGAAAGGCCATTTCAGGCTGCAGCCTACTTCAGCACCCTAACGTAAGGGAGAAGGACAATAAAAGAGCTGTGAAGGAAGCAAAGTGGGAAGTGATGATGATTTTATTCCCAGCCAAGATACCACTTTACAATAAAAGCAAGCATAAAAGCATGGTAAGGGTTATGAGCACTCAAAAGCCCTTTGTGAAGAAACCTGCTTGACCACCAACTTTAGCCAATTAAAAGACAAATAAGTGCTTTAGGAATCTCCGTTAGGGTTGGTAAAGACCAAGGTGTTTTCTTTTCTTTTTTTCTTTTCCACTTTATTAAATTCTTTTATTGGTACATTGTAGGTATACAACACAATTACATTTCTCATTGGGAATTGTACCTTTACATAATGCATCTTGGTTCTT